GCTGCTGCTGATCTTCTCCTCACCTGGCCAGCGCACCTTGTTGGAGTAGTTCTTTTACACAAATCCTTGCATAACCAAGAGCTTGGTGTGGTGATTCTAAGGAAAGAGGTTGTTGTACTTGTGCTCCCAAGGGTCACCGGTGACCACTGTCTGATTGTCAGTGCAACACTACTTCATTCAAAGATGAGTTACTTACCTTCCATCTCCCTCATGTTGAACCCAATGATGCCCACCTTGTCCATCAATGTCAGCTTCTTCCTCTAGTCCAGATGCAGAAATTCAAGGCTGAACTTGTGCCTGTTGAGATCCTTCTGAAACTTGATGGTGCCCTTGTTAGAGGATGTGCCAGCCTGCTTAGATGGTTTTGGAACCTGTGTGGATGCTTTGGATGGTCCGGCAACCTGCTCAGACAGTTTGGAGTGTCATTTTAAAGGTGCACTGTCTGGCTAAGATGACACTGCAATGGCAGGGCCACTGGGCTTGCTCAGCCTGCTCATGTTTTTGTTGCCCTCCTTGCTTGCCTTGTTGATGATGCTCACAAATGTTTGATAACTGTGTCATGTAAATAATGAGCTCCATGTTGCAGTCATGTAGATGTATGTAGAGACTTACTATATATATGGCTTGAAGTGCATGAGGGAGGTGTCTTTGTTTCCCTGCAGGTAGGTGCTCAGAAACTATGAGATTGCATTGTCAGTACAGCACTCAATGTAATAAGCAAGAACTTACATTTTTGGCTGTCACAGTCTCATAGAGCTGGGCCAGGTACATGTTCATGTTGATGAGGTTTACTGCGATCAGGAAGGCTGTGAAGAAGTCATAGCATAATGCGAGGTTGTTGCATTGAGAGGGTGGTTAGTGGAATGTACAGTACTCATGATGTAGGTACTTAGGGTCTGTTCGGCGACGAAGTTTGCCCTTAGCTTAGCTTAGGTGCACGTGATACAACAGTCTATACTCCTATATTGATGCCTGACTCGTAGACGACGAGCGAGAACTTATGGACAGTGCGTCGTCCTGAAGATCGAGCGAGGAAGTCGAGAATGACCACTACCCCAAGCGAAGAGGAGCAGAGACTTGAATGAATAACCAGGTCAAACTTAGGGTTCGACCGACTAATGGTACAACTATTTATACAAGTACTGGCTATGCACGAACCACTGTATCTGTGTGGTCGTGTTAGTAAAGAAAGAAACGTAGTGGTACGATACCAGGCACGAAGTGCACACGGACCCCATTATGTAAGCTACATAATGTTCAACCTGCGGGTGAGTGCTCAGACAGGCGCCAGTATGGGTGCTAGTAGTACAAGAAATAGGGCGGAAAGATAAATGTTTCATTACCCCCCTACCAGAGTCGAAGTCCCATTTGACTACTTACTGCTCACCATCTCCATACAACTCCCAGTCTACGCCATCGTCCTCCGCTTCATCGAACCACTCATTGCATGCGTTCCTCCCCACATTCTTCCATTCCTCGCCAGAGAGGTGCTCCTGATGCGGCCAAGGGTTGTCCCACGTCCATTGAGTGGTGTCAGGTGTCCAGTCAGGGTCGACTTTGCGAAAGATGATGGGTGTATCGGGGCGGGGGTGTGAGGATCCCACGATGGGACTAGCCTGGGGTTCAGGGTTGGTGCTGCGCGGTGGAGGGATGGGTACCGCCTTCGTCTGCCTCTCTCTTTCCTTTCTCTCCTTTGCCTTGTTGATGATTCCTTTGAGGAACATGTTGTCGACGACCACCCCCACGCGTCACGCAGGTTCTTCAGGTGGTGTGGATACGTGTCGCTTCATCGGCCTGGTTCCGCACTCTCGCTCCAGGTGTCCAGGGGCTTCTTTTCCGCATCTTGCGCATCATGTGTCCGGACAGTCCCATACCCAGTGTCGAGATGATCTGCATCATCTACAGCTTCCCTTCGGGGTCCAACCAGGGTTGGGTTGCCAGTCAGCCGGGATGGTAGTGCTTCGCGGTGTTGCTTGGAGAAAAGGGGACGGGATCGGGGGGCGCCTGAAGGCAGACATCGGTAGGGGTGCAGGTAGGGGTAGGTACACGTTGGGGATGGCGCGCAGGATGAATTTGTTGTGTCGCGCCTGGATGCTGCATGGTAGGAGCAGTTGAAAGCGATGGGCAACTTTCAGATTGTCGAGTCGAATGAGCTTGGTGAGGACACGGTCATCCTGTTGACGTAGGAGCTGCTTGTGGTGGTCGATGGCCTCGTCGGCTACCTTGACAGCCTCATCGTATTCGTGGCGGGCAGAGAGGTACACTTTTAGTGCAGCGCGGTCGGTGGCATTGGTTGCCTCGGGGTGGTGGGTTTTGAGTTTATTGAAGACGTCGGTGGGGTTACTGAGAAGTAGTGTCAGCAAAGTGCTGTCACCGACATGGGTGTGCTTAGGGGTGTAGATTGAAATCCTCTTTCCGCCCTCAGTTGAGGGGGCGTTGAACTGGTCGAGGAATGAGAGGGTGGAGGACATGTTGGTACGAGTAGGGGTGTAGCGACTGGGTTGAGCTGCTGTCGACTCAGTTCAAGTTCTTCCTCTTCTTGTACTCCATTAGCACTTCATCTGCAGTCCCTGTCAGGTTTGCTTCAGGTTCCCATGAGTCATCTGCAGTTGAGTAACCCTTCCACCTGACGCAATATTCACAGTGCCGCATCCTCTTGTTCTCTCAGTGTCTGATGATGGCTTCGACTTCGTAGTTATCTTCCCCTTCGATAAGGTCAGGAGGTGGCCTTGTGTAATTCGGACCATGGATCTCCATTTCTGAATAGGGAGATAGAAGCCATTCGTGGAAAATGGGGTGGACTCGCCAGGTGCTAGGGAGGTCTAGCTTGTACGTGACCGTTCCGATCTTGTCTAGGACTTTGAACGGCCCTTCTCGCCTCGGGGCTAGTTTCCTGGATGGTATGGCAGCTTCAAGTTCCGGGAGTCTAGCCATACCAGCTGACCTTTACGGAAGGAACCCCCCTTCCTTTTTACTCTCTTGGCCAAGGTGTTCTGGGCCATCTCCATTGCTGCATGTGCTTCCTCACGGATGTTTTGCAAGTCCTTGAGGTGATAAGCTGCTTGTGGCATGTTTGATCCAGGGTGCGCAGTGGGTATTCCACGAGGTTCGTATCCCATCATGAGTTTGAATGGGGATGTCTTCATTGTGGAATGCTCATGGGAGTTGTGAGCAAATTGCGCAGTGTGAAGATGGTCAGCCCACTTATCTGGATCATTGGCAGTGAAGCAGCAGAGGTAGATCTCCAGCTCTTGGTTCACTTGTTCTGTCTCGCCGTCGGTCTGCGGGTGTAATGCCGTACTCATGGCCGATTGAATCCCAGTCATTTTGCAAAGTTCCTGGAAGACTTTGGACGCAAATTGCGGTCCTCGGTCGCTGATGATCTTGTCTGGGAGTCCAAACCACTTGTAGACCTCTTGGTACATTGCATCTGCTGTCCCAAGAGCATCAATTGTTTTGTTGCATGGGATGAAAATTACCCCCTTCATAAGGTCGTGGTCCACTACGACCAAAATGGAATCAAAGCCGTTGGACGGTGGCAAGTTGGTGATGTAATCACACGAAAATGTGCTGAAGGGCTTGGCATTTGCACGTGGTCGGATGGGGGTGATGGGTGGACGGGCTGGATGCGTGTTGACTTTCATTTGCTGGCAGATGCCACAGCCGTTAACATAGCGAGCGACAAACTGGGCCATGCTTGGCCACCAGTAGTCGCGGCGCAAGCCGAGGAGGGTTTTCTGAACACCGGGGTGTCCTGCAGAGGGGAGGTCGTGATAGTGGGAGACGAGACATTTGCGAAGAAACTCATCTGGGGGTACATAGACCCGATCCTGGTATAAGAGGAGGTCATCATCGATGGACCAGTCGGTTCCAGTGCATGGGGTCCCTCCAGTGTGTGCTGCAGTGAGGCCCTCCTTCATTATGGGATCGTTTTTAAATGAAAGGATGGTATTGCATGTGTTGATGTCGATGGCAGCGACCCATACTTCTGGTGGGAGCATGACGACATTGGTGTTGTCATTAGAGCCATTGTTATGGTCGGGTCGGTGGGAGAGAGCGTCGCTTTGCACCATTTGGGTACCAGGAACGTGTACCAGGCGGAAGTCAAATTCGGTCAGTTTACTCACCCAGCATGCTTGTCGTCGGTTCATGTCTTTGGCCTGCTTCCAATATGTGAGATTCTTGTGGTCGCTGAGAATCGTCACTGGGTATGGGCTGCCGATAAGGTAGTGCCTCCACTCATCTAGTGCGCGAATGACCACATATAACTCCCTGTCGTAGATGTCGTAGTTTCTCTCAGCCGCATTGAAGCTTTGAGAGAGGTATCCGCAAGGATGCCAGTTGCCGTTGTCGTCGCGTTGGCGTAGTACCGCTCCGGTTGCAAACTTGGAGGCATCGGTTTTGATAGCGAAGGGTCGATCAGGATCCGGCATGCGTAGTACCGGTTCTTCTAGGAATGCCTTCTTGAAGGTCTCGAAGGCTTTCTGTTGGTCAGATCCCCAGGTCCAGGTGATGTCCTTCCGGGTGAGAGCAACCAGCGGTTGTGCTTTGTCCGAGAAGCCTTTGATAAACTGGCGGTAAAAGTTTCCAAATCCAACGAAGGTGCGTACTTGCCTGAGGTTGAATGGCACTGGCCAGTCTGCAATGCCAGCTAGTTTGACAGGGTCCATTGCGATTTCTCCTGGGCGGATGATCATGCTGAGGAATTCGACTTCGGTGATGTTGAAGGCACATTTCTCCGGTTTGAGGTAGAGATTGTGTTGTCGAAGTCGTTCGATAACATGTCGTGTTCATTCCTCATGTTCTGCCTTGTCCTGGGAAAAGATCAGGATGTTGTCCATGTAGATGCAAAGCCAGCCTTCTTGAAGCATGTCTGCGAATATAGTGTTCATCATCCACTGGAACGTAGCGGGGGAATTACACAGCCCAAAGAACATCACCGTTGGTTCGTACAGCTGCGGCGGTTTGCCATCAGTTCTGGGTACGATGAACGCTGCCTTCCATTCATCCCCTTTCTTGATTTGGACGTTGTTGTATCCGGCGCAGAGGTCCATCTTTGTGAATACTTTGGTGTGCTTCAACTTGTCGAGGAGGTCCGATATAAGCGGGAGCGGGTACCGATCCTTGACCGTGTTCTCGTTGAGCAGCCAGTAGTTTTGACAGGGGCATAGTGAACCGTCCTTTTTACCAACAAGAATGGACTCACCAACGGGGATTTCGAAGGGCGAATGTACCCTTTACTCAGGTTCTCCTCGAGAAACATGTCGAGTTCCTTTCGCTGTTGTGGGTTGAGTGGGTAAACCTGTTGTTTCATGTCCACGAAGCCCTCCTTGAGGTTGATTTCGTGGTCATATTCGGTGTGGTCCAGAAGTCGCGCAGTGGTGCCTTTGTCGAAGATGGGGAGGAGATCGTGTAGGTAGGACAGTATCATCTGTGGTAGCATTCTTTCTGTCTTGGCTTGGGTGTTTGAGGCTGCAAGTTCGGTGGATGTTGTGACTCGCCTAATGTCGTGGTGGATCTTCCAGATCATGCCATTGTGGAGTCGTTTGTAGCCAGATGAGAGTTCAGGAAGTCGCTCCTTGAGCAGAAAGTCCCTTACTGCCGGGGATTCCTGTTTCTCGTACTTGGTGATCATCGGTGTTCCTGATAAGTAGGAAATGATGAACTCATCGTCGTCGATGTCCTCCGCTTGTTCTTCAATGGATGCAATACCCGTTGACCCAAACCCATCCTCCCCGCATTCTGTTTCGTCGATGCAGTCAGTTATTGTTACTGGTGGAGTGCTTATCCTTTCAAGGATGAGCTGAGCAACTCGGTCACCAGCTTTGATGGTGAATGGGAGGTCAGAGTTGTTGACCAGCAGGACTGAGACCTTGCCTCGGTAGTCGGAGTCGATTACTCCTGCAGCAACATCAATTTCCTTTAGTGCCAGACCGGGCCGAGGTGCGATTCTTCCGTAGTGTCCTTCGGGGATAGCCATGATAAGATCGGTGCCAACCAGGCCTCGTCATTGGGCAGGGATGATAAATTGATGCACAGCAAAGATGTCATATCCTGCTTGTCACAATGTGCTCTGCCACAGTCCCCTGGTTGGCCTAGGACGATCCCCCGGTGGCGGGAGCCACCACACCATGTGACCACATGGTTGTGTCAATTGCGGAGCAATCGGACAAGAGCACAGCTCCGGCCACACTTCTCTTGTTCCATTGTTCCTGTGGCCAAGTGGCCCTTGTTCTACTTTTGGATTCTATTGTTCTTTTCCTTATTGTTCTGCCGTGGGAATGCTTTCCCTTGCTCATGTATATAAAGAGCTCTGTAGCGACCCTTTAATACACACTTCTGTGACCCACTTCGACTTCAGCCCCACTTGTGGCATTCAGTCCTTTAGTGCTAGTCTTGTGCAACTACTCCCTGCGTCGCCTTTTGATATCTGCTCCTCTTCGCTTGGGGTAGTGGTCATTCTTGACTTCCTAGCTTGATCTTCAGGACAACGCACTGTCCATAAGTCCTCACTCGTCGTCTACGAGTCAGGCATCGATACAGGAGT